TAATCTTGCATCCATCATGGTTGTCATAGATCAGTTTTCAAACTATGCAACCTTCATAGCAGCCCCGCAGAACATCTCAGCAGAAGATACAGCTCGACTCGTCTTCTCGCACATTGTCAAACATTGGGGCCTGCCCAAAGACATTGTTAGTAGGCGCGACTCAAGCTTCACTAGCAACTTTTGGACCCATCTTTTCAGGTGCTTTGGGTCAACATTGAGTCACAACTCAGACATCTATCCACCATCGGATGGCCAGACAGACCGGTTCGATGACATGCTGGAGGAATATCTCCGCAACTTTGCAACCGGATCACAGAAGCATTGGGTGAAGCTCTTGGATGCTGCTCAACTGTGTTTCAATTCTCAAAAGAGCCATCATACAAACAAAAGCCCTTTTGAAATTGTTATCGGACAACAACCGCTTCTCCCGCAAAACGGTGAATGCATCAACCATGCCGAAATCTCCTCGAGATGCCAACTTCTCGTGCGAATGGGAGCGTAACATGGGGATAGTGTGGAGCTATCTCGTCAAAGCCCAAGAGCGAGCAAAAAGATTCACCGAACAAAATCTTTGCTTTGCCCAACATCAAACAGGGGACAAAGTAATGCTATGCATCCCAAAGCGATACTTGTTTGCAGAGAGGACCCATGACCCTCGCCTGCAACAAAAATACATCGGGCCCCTGCACATCGAAAAACGCATTGGGAAGTCCACATACCAGGTGAAAACTCCATCCTGGTAGAAGATCCATCCAATCTTCCATGTCAGCCGCATGAAATCATTGCATCGCTATAACAGCAAGCTCACAGAACAGAGGGGCACAGACCTCCCATCCAACAACCACCAGAAGCATCATCATCATCATCATCATCATAAGGCTCCGAGGACGGCGCCAACTCAGGTGGGGGAGAATGTCATGGGCTGCTTTCCAGACATGCCCCATGACCCCTTGGCCGCGCCCCATGGCGGCCTAGCAAGCCTCACAATGCCTAGCGCCATGGTCGGCCCCGTGGTTTTGGCTGCGCCAAGTGACAAGTGCGCATGCGCCTCTGTCGCCCCACCGATTCCTCTCGCCAGCGCCCAAGGGCTGGCCAATGACAACCGTCGCGCGCCCTGACAATGCCGCGCGCGCAAATCCTGATGCCTCGCCAGCGCCCATCTGCAGGCCCATTCCAGCAGCGCCTCGCGCACAGACCCTGATGCCAAGCACCAACGCCCAGCCTCAGGCCAACATAGCAAGTGTCGCGCGCGCCCACAGCAACGCGCGCGCAGACCCTGACCCGTAAGACAAAGTTGCTGCCATCGGACTTAGTTCTACCTTGTAAAAAACTAAGTCCTTTTCATTGTAATTATAGGCTAGTTTACATCATTTTCATTCAGTGTGCTTCTACAGCTTTATTAGGACTAGTCATGTAATGTTGGTTTATTTTTTTAAGCATTATTAGGGTAGAACAAACAATCAAACATTTTCAAGCAAGCAATTTTATGTACTGGTGTCTCTCCCCCTCGACACCGCATCTTTTGTAATCAGCATTTCAGTTATCAATAAAATCATCATCATCATTCAAAACCCAATTCTCTCTCAGCTTCCGCAATTGTCCGTGACATTGGTTTTCCCGCACGACACTAACAATCTAGTCTAGCGTGCGGAGGAGACCTCATTGGCGGACAGCAACCGCAATGACATCGGTTGCTTAGCCTTACGTTGCCCTTCCAAAAAACATCAGGAAGGCGTTGCATAACAGTACATATGATACATGATCGATCTTTCAAGAAAAAAACAATTTTCTAACTTTGAATGGTTTCTTTAATTTCTTGGATAAGATTAAAATCAAGGGAAATTTGTCTTCTATTTAAAATGAGGAAAAACCCAAAAAAAAAAAAAACATTTCGTTGGTATCATTGTTAGGTGACACTGACAGCTTAAACAAGGTTCTTTTGTCAGCTTCAGAAAGACACCAGCTTGATGCTGCTACTTGTTCAACTCCAAAGCAATGAAGAAAAATTAATGGTTTTTATAAAGTTGGGGAATTTTGGCTTCTAACTGTCAGAAAAGGCTTGTTTTTATCAGTGTTAAATAGCTTTCTAGATTTCATTCTATCATATTTCGTCAACAATAACAATAACAACAATAAACTAAGTATAATTTTACGATTGAGTTCTGACAAAGCGTACGTAAATCTTACCGTTATTTTATGTAAGCAGAGGCTATTTCAATAGTAAAGATGTTGATATTTGTGCAGCTTACAACAGTAAAGATGTTAATTTTAGTAGTAAGTGTGCAGTCCAATGGTCTATAAAATATGTGAAAACTATAAAATATCAGACTTCAAATTTAAGCAGAGACAAATGTTCGGTAATTTTCTTCCACCTCATTTAGCTGTGATAGTAAGTATCCGATAAAATAATTGAGGTGCGTACAGTCCAACCGAAACACTACCATTATTAGAAACAAAGTTAATTTCCCGCCAAAATTACCTCATCCCTCCAAAATCCCATATATTTACAACATTCCCTCTTTCTCAAAAAATATACACACACAAATGAAGGGTACTTCCAAGATAAAAATGGCAGCAATATTGATAATGGTGGTGAGTCTTGCAATGGTTCTAGGCCTAATATTAGTTCTACTTGCTGAGTTCTTCTGCTCCCTCTTACTTCGTCGTCGACAACAGTCAAAAACGGCTATAAATTCCACGTCAGCTTCCATCGCACAACCACCACCACCACGTCGCCAAGATCAATCAATTGCTCCAACAACTCTTAGTAGCTTCTACGCACAAGGGGTTCTTCACGCTCCTAGAAATTTCCTCTTCCCTAAAGACGACGACAACAACAGCAGCTTACCCAGTGTAATCTCACAAGTGAGGTCTGTGGAGTGTGAGGCGTACACAGACCTTAACCCTAAAGAAAATTTCGATTTTGAAATGCAAAATCGAAATTCTTCTTCACCTTATCCTTCCTTTATTCAAATTCAATCCCCTAAATTAGTACATGAAGTACCACTACAATGTAGCACTAGTACATGTACAACTATGGAGCAATTTGTTTACATATCAAATCCAATTTACGATAATGAAAAACCCAGGCCAAGTATGGTTGATACGCCTTTTGAAACACCCAATTCATCGCCCTCTTATCTCGAAACAATTGATAATTCTTCAGAGAAAGACGACGAAAATTGTGGAATATCATCTTCATCATCAACTAGTCCATCTTCTTCAGTTCAATTAACTCCAATGAAGAAACTTCCAGCTGAGGCATGTTCAGTTTCACTTAGAGATGTTAGATCAATTATTACTTCAGAAAGTAATTCTAATAGTAACAATTCTTCTTTTTCCTCTGGATCTCCTTGTACTTCTCCTTCTTGGTGAAATTTGCAAAAAATTATGTACTTAAAATTTTCTAGTTATTGTTTTGTTTTAGTGTTTTTTTCGGTTTTATTTAGAGCTGCATTAATGTAGGTTAAATTAGCTCAGTTTGTTTAGTCCTTGTTGTTCATGTAAGAAAAAATGACACTGAATAGCCACTCTCGAAATAATATATATATTCCGTATGTTATATATAAAAATTATATAAATTTTATATATTTTTTTGTTTACTGAATATAAATAGTTTCTGACGCAAGATAAAAGTGATATCCCTTAGGACTCGTTTGATAGGAGGTATTAGATGAAATAATGCATGCATTAGCTTTGTATATTAATAATGTCATGTTTGGTACAATTTTTGAGCATATGCATTAGTTATGCAAGCATTAGTTATACACACTATTTGGTATTATCTTATGCATAATTAATGCATAAGAAATCATGGTATTACCAATGCAATGAGTTTTAATATATGCATTTGCTTAGTTAAAGATAAAATTGTCCTTCAAAACTTAAGCTCGACTAAAATATGTCATTATATTAATGAAAGTATTTTTGTAAACAAATAATTCTTTTAGAAATTGTAATATTTTAATACATTAAATCAAACAATGGATAAGAGACATGTTAACATAACGAATGTCCGCATAATTAATATCAGTATTTCTAATACACTCTATTCACCATTATTTTTATATATTGTGCCAAACGACCCCTTAATATAATAGGGATGCTAAAAAGGCGGTAGAGATAAAGAGTAATATTAGACTATTAGACTTGGAAAGTTTGAAGGCGTGACAATGTGTGCACTTAGACCTAGGCCACGCCGAGTTGTCTCTATGTACTTACTTACTCTAATATAGAGAGTTGTTTAGGAGGCATTCTTTGATCTGTTCAAGGAAAGCAAACATCATGTATTTACTTTTCCTTTTTTGAGAGTTTTGATTTTATATGCATTGACAGTGCAAAAAAGAATCTCATCATATCACAAATAAAGGTATTGTGGTGAAGTGGTAAATACTCATTCATCTTTAACTAAAAGTTTCAAGTTCGAGCCCTGAGTATAAAGTGAATTCGGTTTTGGTCAAACTCCAATACGGTACCAAACACCGAGTGAAAAAAAAAAGAATCTCATCATATCATATCATACAAAAGTAAAGATAGTAATTTGAAAAATAACAGACAACTTGCTATAACATGTTAAAATACAAATAATGTTAAAAGAATTTATACTATAATATTCCCTTTGTTTTAATTTAGATAACAGACTTTCCTTATTAGTCCGTTCCAAAAAAATGATACATTTTTACAATTAGAAATAATTCAACTTTAAATTCTTTATTTTACTCATTTTATATATAATTAAAAGCTTTTATAACTACAAAAATATTATAAGTACCAAAACTTTTACCTTTTAAATTTTTAAAATAATAAATTTTAATTTTTTATTTTTAAATTTTGTACTGAGTCAAACTACTCATCTAAATAACTAAATTGAAACGAACGAAATATATACAAGTAAAATACACGGTGTTGGGATTGAGAATTGATGGTGCATGTGAAGAGGGGGTGGACCAAAGAAGACTAGAAGAGGCAAAAGATATCTCTATTTTTTATGGTAAAAGGACAACACTTGTTTGCTGATATCTATGAATCAGAGTCAAAGAAAACAAAAGCTTAAGAAAGTGAAACCTGTGAGGGTTCTTTTGTCCTCTTAGGAAAGGACGACTTGTGTTGGTCTCGATGCATGGCGCATGAACCCCACGAAACAAAATAAGTTTCACTAGAATTCGAGATGGAAAATGTCATACCTAAGCTGATTTCATACTCAATTTAAATCTAAAATCTTTTATTAAAAATAAAAGAATACTTATTGCTCCATTACTACCTTTGATGGTCATTTATATTTAAATGATATACGTTTTTAAGTATTTGTTTAGAAGAAGTTTTACTACATTCATATTATAGGATATAATACTTAAAAGCAAAACTTACTTCAAACTTCAAAGTTATTACCGCTAGCCATGCGAAACTNTATATATATATATATATATATATTGGTAACTAACCATTTTTATATTAATCACCGGTAACTGTACATAACGATTGCCCGCTTACAAACTCAGGGGCCTATCTAAAAATTAATAAAGCCTACTCTAAATTATCTATATCACAACATAAAATTTTGCACCATTCTACTAATTCGAGTGGTAGCTCGTAAATTGCATATGTAGGTTATCTGTCATGCAATACTATCAGATCCACTGCTTCTCTTTTCAAACAGCCTCGGATTCCTTTCTATCCAAATGGAGTGAACTATCTCAGCATACACCATTCTGAAGACTTGCACTTATTGTGATTTAACCTTAGCACATTGATAGCCCATCGCACATGTTGCTCCCAAGTGTCTGCCTCTGTGCATTATCTATGTTCCCATTGCACGATTTTTCGCCAAGGTCCCCTAGTAAATTTGCATTTAACAAACAGGTGTACCTTGTTCTCATCATGATCATGGTATAAAGAACACCTGGTGTCCACAGTTAATCCCCATTGCATCAACCTATCTGCAGTCAGCAGTCTCCCTTGTAGTTGCAGTCACATGGTAAATATTGATTTTGCTCTGGCATTGTTTTGGAAAAGCAAACACTTCCCACTGACTCTTTGTCATGACGCCAATTTCCCTCCGTAGAATGTTGCGATGACATCTAGTTTTAGGGACTAGGTAAGTGTAATACTTACTGAATTAATGGCAAATTCAACCAACAATTATTAAATATGAAACAAAAATTTATTTATACAAGCCAACAATCCCCAAAACCGGTAGTACAAGTCATAAGCTCTTCTAATTTACTAAAAACATTCTAAATACAATTGTTCCAGAATAGAATTAAACAGTACAAGGTAAAATTTCATAAGGTGACTTCAAGGCCTGCGAACGCGACAGTAGGTACACATTGAGTCTCCATAGCAATGCCCGATCAGCTAGCAAATGATCAACAAGTCCGAGGTACCTGGATCTGCACAAAAATATGCAGAAAGCGTAGCATAAGTATACCACAGCGGTACCCCGTAAGTATCAAGACTAACCTCGATAGAATAGTGACGAGGGACAGTCAAGACACATACTGGACTTAATAACCTGTACAAGTATGAATGTGAAACTAATAGGGAAATAATATCATTATAAGGTTAAGCATGGTAGAAGTAACAAAACAATACTCACAATAAGAAACTAGAGACAACGATTAGCAACAAGGAACAAACAGGTAATATGCCGTCGAGTAAGTTGAACACAGTTTAAGTCCGATGAAACCAAATAAAGGAAAGCAAGTAAGAACTCAATAAGAACAACCGCTTTTACACAAGATTTATGTAACGACCCGATCGGTCATTTTGCTTTCGAGAACCTCGTTCCTCTATATGAGACTTTCCATACTTGCTTTTACTGATTTATGACGGGGATAGTTGGTTTGGGATTTGGAAGAGTTTGGGTTGAAATCGGAACACTTAGTTTCTTAAGGTTGGCTTAAAAGATCAAGTTTGACTTCGGTCAATATTTTGAGTAAATGACCGGAATCGGTGTTTGTTGGTTCCAATAGGTTTGTCTGATAATTTCGGACTTGGGCATATATTCGCATCGGGTTTTGGATGACCCAGGAGCGTTTCGGCGCCTAATAGTAAAAGTTGGTTCTCTTAAGGATTTTGAAGTTCTTTAAATTTGGTTTGGAGTAGGTTTAGTGATATCGAGGTCCAAATGGAATTTCGAGATCGGAATAGTTCCATAATACCATTTAAGACTTGCACGCAAAATTTAGTGTCAATCCAAGTAGTCTAAGTATGATTCAACGCATTCAGAGCGATTTTGAAACTTGAAGTTCAAAGTTTGATCCAATTTGATTTTGGGGTGTGATTCTTGGATTTGTTGTTGTTTTACTTGTTTCGAGAGTTCGAGTAGGTCCGTATTATGCTTACAGACTTGTTGGTGTAGTTGGACGGGGTCCCGAGGGGATCGGGTGAGTTACGGACTGCCCGAAGCTAAATTTGAGAAACTAGATTTTTCCAATTCTGGTTTCCTTATTCGCGAACGCGGGAGGGCCATCGCGTTCGCGAAGAAGGATTTGGGGCAGTGGGCAAATTTCCCTTCGCGTTCGCGGTCAGGATCACACGTTCACGAAGCCATGCGAGCCTAGGCCTTCGCATTCGCGAACCACACTCGCGTTCGCGTAGGGGAAATGGGGTCGGGGTGGGCCAGTGAACTTTGATCTTCGCGTTCGTGAAAGAGTTGTCGCGTTTGTGATGCTCAATTAGTGTATGCCTTCACTAACGCGAGGCTTCTTCCTCGTTCGCGAAGAAGGGCGTCACAGCTGGGCAGAAGCTTGTTTTAAATCAAGACTTAGGCATTGTTCTCCCATTTTTCACACACTTGTGCGATTTTGGAGCTTCAGAAAGGGAGATTTCAACCCAACTATTGAAGGTAAGTAATTCCTACCTAATTGTATGTTTAATACATATATTATGGGTAGATTTTAACATATAAATTTGTGGAATTCATGGGTTAGATGGAAAACCTAGATTTTTGATAAAAATGAGATTTAACCATGAAATTTGTTATGGAATTTAGTAATAATTATATATTTATGTTCCTAAGGTTATGGGTAACAACTTTATTTGCAAATTTCTGAAACCCGAGCATGTGGGCCCGAGGGTAAATTTTAGAAATCTTGCAATTTGGGTTGGGTAATCACTCTATTAGTGGGGATATGAACTTTTAAGATAGATTGATTAGTTTATGTAATGTTTGACTAGTTTCGGGTCGTTTTGCATCAAATTTGGAGGTTTGAGCACATTCTTGAATTGGGAAGTAGGCTTTGAGATGAAGTAAGTGTTCTTTCTAACCTTGTAAGAGGGAATTAACCCCATAGGTGAATTAAATAAATGTGTGTACCTAATTGTGGGGGCTATGTATGTATAAGGTGATGAGTGTCCGTACATAGCTACTATTA